ATGGCCGGTTTGCTCACTGGCTGAGTGTGGTGCTGACAACACCAAGCCAAGGGTTGAGATCCCCTTACCGGTCATCTTTAAAAAAAAAACAAAAAAAAACAAAACTGGTACTCTAGCCTATTATCCCACTGTTTCTGCTTGAGTCCAGTGGTCAGCCCCTGTGCCAACATTCAACTTTGCCCCTTTCTACTTTAGAAACCAAACCTAATAAATAACATTTATTAAAAACTTACTATGTACCTGACACTGGGTTAAGTATTTTACATATGCAATATGTAATAATTCCTGTAAGATGAAAAATTGTTAATTTCCAATGTTTTGGAATGAAACATTTGTACACATAGCTTTTTGCCATATTTATTGTTAATATTTAGGATTTCCAGAAATGAAATAACTGAATCAAAAGATATAAAGCTTATTTATTTATTTAGGCAGCTGGCTGTATGGGGATCTGAACCCTTGACCTTGGTGCTATCAGCACCATGCTCTAACCAACTAAGCTAACTGGCCAGCCCTAAAGCTTATTTAAAGGCTGACACGTTTTTTTTGTTGTTTTTGGGGGGTTTTTTTCAAGCTTTATTAAGGGAAGAAAATCTGCTGGGCTGTGCTCAAAGTAGCAAGCAGCCCAGGGCTGCCCTGAAAAGGGGACAGCCCTGACAAGTTTTTTTCTAAAGACAATTATTCATTACCCGCTCCCCCTTTTATCTCCAGTGACCTATTTTCCACTATTGTATTACTTTTCTTTTTTTCCTAATTTACAACAAGAGATGTTTTTAAAAGTGGATTCTCAGTTTTGGCCACTCACAGGCTTCATCTTTTGTCCCTCATTTCTACAGTTTGATGATATGTGTCAGTCCTCCAATTTGACTTTTTGGAATCCAGTCAACAAAAATATCTGGCTGTAATATTTTATGCTATTCCTACAACTATTCTGTCATGTTCCTAATGGGAAGTTATCAATCTTAAAATCCTACTGTACCTTCTCCTAAATAAGAATTAAACAAAGGTTCAATATTCTTCCTATAAGCTCATCAGAATTAGATAGATAAGGACTGGCCAGTTAGTTTACTTCGTTAGAGCATATACTACTGGTAACATCAAGGTCAAGGGTTTGGATCCCTGCACTGACCAGCTACCCAAAAAATAAAAAATTTAAAAAATTTAAGGAAGGAATTAGGTAGATGATCTCCTTCTATCCAAACTATTTCTTCCCCCCCCCCCCCAATTCAAAGTGTATATTTCCTCTAGGAATCTATACCTGATTTATTCTACTGGTCCTCCCACTAACCCACCCACCAACATAATTCAAGAACTTAATACAGTAGCTTTTACTCTATTTTTATATTTGTTTACTAAACAATATCTTATCTTCCCCATTAAATTAAGTGGCTAAAGAATAGGAATTGTTTCTATAATTGCCAGCTACACATAAAATACCTCACCAAAGTATAGTAGAAGCTTTCTAAACTGATTTCCATTTAACCAGCTTACTGAAGTGATGCTCTCCATTACCTCAGTAATACACTGAAAAATGCCTACAGTGAAAACTAGTAGACTTCACTCTTTAAGAAACTCTCACAGGGCCGGCCCGTGGCTCACTCGGTAGAGTGCGGTGCTGATAACACCAAGGCCCCGGGTTCGGATCCCACATAGGGATGGCCGGTTCGCTCACTGGCTGAGCGTGGTGCTGACAACACCAAGTCAAGGGTTAAGATCCCCTTACCGGTCATCTTTTAAAAAAAAAAAAAAAAGAAACTCTCACATTACTGCACTGTCTTCTAAAGTTTGTGTGCATGCCTAATAACAAGTATCAATCATGTTAGCCAACTTATACCACTTGTACTAGGTATGACCATTCCCCAACTTAAATATTACATAAACCAGGGAAATATAAACATAAAATGCAAAAGGTATACTACAGTCTGAATGTTGTGTTTGTGTTCCTCCAAAATTCATCTATTAACACTGGCCAGACACCAAAAATAAAAAGTTACAGAATTACATCTGTTGAAATCCTAACCACCAAGGGCCAGCCCGAGGCTCACTCAGGACAGTGCGGTGCTGATAACACCAAGGCCACAGGTTTGGATCCTATATAGGGATGGCCGGTTGGCTCACTAGCTGAGCATGGTGCTGACAACACCAAGCCAAGGGTTAAGATCCCCTTACTGGGCATCTTTTAAAAAAAAAAAAAAAAGAAATCCTAACCACCAAGGTGATGGCATTAGGAGTGTGGGGCCTTTCAGAGGTGATTAGGTCATATCATGAATGGAATTAATGCCCTTATAAGAGACCCCAGAGAGTCAACTAGTCTTTCCACCATGTGAGGACACAGCTGGACAGTGCCATCTATGAACCAGTGAGGCGACCCTCACCAAACCTCCTTATCTTGGACTTCTCAGCCTCCAGAACTGTGAGAAATAAATTGTTTGTAAACCACCCTGTCTACAGTATTTTGTAGCAGCCCAAAAGGACTAAGACAAGGTATCTGTACAAAAATTAGGTTGAATGCTTTGGGAAGACTCAATAAAAACAATGTCAAATTAGAGGTAGACAAGATGACAGAAGATTAGAGAAAAAAAATCCAGCATTGTACAAATTACTTCTTATATGTCTAAAATCTTACTCTACTTTCAAAAATTCTGAAACTGAAATTTGTAGACCAAGCATTATAGGTGTGGTTTGTGGAAGAAAGATACAGAATTCCAACCAAAAAACCCATACCCAAATAAAAGACTGAAATCAAAATATTACCAAGTTAATATAGATTAGTATTTTTGTTTTAAAAAAAAGTATTTACAGTATGTGTCATTTATGATTACCTACTGTGACTCTTTTTGATATACCAGCCAGATAAGAGGGTTTCTACTGTACACACGTAGAGCAGACTGATTTTTCCCCCCAAAGAAAAATTTTAGGCACACCTAAAAGATAATATAGCATTAAGCTGGGTTTGAACCCCTGCCCCAAACTTACTTCCTCTGTAACCTTGAACATGTTAACCAAATATGTCTCCTCATCTAAAAATGAAGTATTAAAATTAAACCTATCTTAAACTTTGAGAGGTAATGACTATGTTCATGGACTTGATGGTGGTTATGGTTTCCTTGGTATATACTTATCCCCAAATTCATCAAGTTGTATGCATTAAATATGTACGGCTTTTTATGTGTCAATCATACCCTAACAAAGTGATTTTTAAAAATAAATAGGAATGACATTATGGTTTCCTTGGTATATACTTATCCCCAAATTCATCAAGTTGTATGCATTAAATATGTATGGCTTTTTATGTGTCAATCATACCCTAACAAAGTGATTTTTAAAAATAAATAGGAATGACATTTTTTTTTTAATTAAATCTACCTCACAGGATTGAGGACTAAAAGACAATTCATATAAACTAATTAATACAGTGCCTGGCATATGGTAAGTACTCAGTAAGTAGAATGTGGACTGCCAGCAAAAGACATGTCTATTCTCAGCCCTTACAGAGAAACAGTATTCATGATTGAGTAATATAAGCCCTATCTTGAAGATTATTTAATAGGACACTAGAAATAATGCAGTACTAGGCAGAATACTATATACTTACTTCCAAAACTTCAATAATACCTTATAAGTGGTCTTTAACCAGAGGTACATATCAGAATGCCTTGAACAGTTTTTATCACCCCATATAGGCCAGCAGCCAAAAAAAAATTGTTTTTGTCAAATTCACAAATTCAGGGTTAGCTCACTTGGTTAGAGTGTGGTGCTGATAACACTGAGTCACGAGTTCTGATCCCCCTACTGGCCAGCTGCCAAAAAGAAAAGAAAACAAACACACAAAAAATTCACAAATTCATAAGCCCAGGCTCTATTGCAACTGAATCATGCTCTCTAGGCACATACATATAATATTTAGATATATTCAATATAAAATTGTATATTTATTTATATATTTATTTTTAATGTATAATATTTATACTTATATTTGCTGAATTCCTCCAAGAAGCTCTGATGTGAATCGGTGATGAAGAACCAATGCTAAGAAGATAGCATTACTGATGTTTTAATAGAAGATTACCCAATTACTACTTACTTAAATGTTAAAATATCACTAAAAAGACTAAGGTGGATGAACTTATGAGTCAACCGAAAAACCAAAATAAATTTGATAGAATTAATCTTGTGAAAACTACTATATAAGCAGGAACTCCCAATATTTCAAGGTTTTTCCTATTCAAATATATAGATCTGCAGATGTAGATCTAAATCATAATATTAACCTCCCCACAGGTGTCAGTATTACTGAAATAGGATTGTATTAAAGAAAACCACAAGACATCCCTCATCAGCATTAAATTTCTAACTTTGCAAAGGCCTTCACATTTTTAGCTTGGAGACACAAGACTTTAATATGCTTCTAATGCAGTGTTTCTTAACTTTGCATTATTGACATTTTGAACCAGATAACTATTGGGGATGGAGGGAATGGGCACATGGGCTGTTCTGTGCATTGTATGATGTTTAGCACCATCCCTGGCCTCTGTCCACTAGATGCCAGTAGAACCCCACCTTACTCCAGCTGTGACCAAAATGTGGCCTGGAGCTGGCTGGTTACTCAGTTGGTTAAAATGCGGTGTTATAAGACCATGGTCAAGGGACCCCCTTACTGCAAAAACAAACAAACAAAAAAACAAAATGTGTCCAGATATTAGCAAATGTCCTCTGGGGCCGGGGGAGGGAAAAGACGACCCAATCACTCCCATCTGAGAACCACTGCCCTAGTGAATGATTCTCCTGCTCTCCTCAGACAATTTTCTCTATTTTCTCAGCTAATGAGCTATCTCAATTTCTTCACAGGGGACAAGAAGAATAGACTCAAAAAAAAAAAAGGCTGCTGTCTTTTTTATTGCAAAGAGAAGCAATGACATTAAGGAACACAAGTACTTCTCACTTAACTTATCAGCAACACATTGGTAGATCTGGGTTTAAATTCCCATTCAAGCACTTACCAGCAGTGTTGTCTTGAGCATGTCACTTAACCTCTCCAAGTCTGTTTCCTCATCTGCAAAATGGGAATAATAATATCTACTTTGCAGAGTTGCTATATTTTAGAGATAATTCAAGTAAAATAGTACTATGCCTGACACGTAGTAGGACTGAAATAACTGATCGCTACTATTATTACTGTAAAGGTTGATAGCACTGGAGGATATTATACATCCTCTGCAATGCTCCTATCGGTACTCCAACTTTATGGTACATTAGAATCACCTGTGATGTTTGTTAGACATTGAAGATCCCAGATCCCACCCTCAGACAGGTCCAGGGATAATGCTGAGAAAAACTGGCTGAGTTTTTTATCTTACACTTGACTGTTGTATTTTCACTCTGTTGTAAAACTCTGCAGCATTCAAAGACAAAAGAAAGAAGTAATTCATGAAAACAATTCAACGTGTAAAATATGTCAGACAGAACAAAAACTACTTTAAAATAATGGCATTTTGACAGTTTATTTTGTAGGTCATTTTAAAAACAAAGTTAAAGACAATCTGAGAAAAAACTGTATAGAATATGCTCATTAAATAAGTATGGTGATTAAATCAAAATAAGGGAAATATTTTCTCTTCTGCAACTCCAGAAATAAGTTCTGTTGTCCTGAAGATTCTTATATTTCCAAAAAGGGCAAAAATTATGGCAATTAAAGCTGCCTCTTAATCAGGTAATCTACAGTAGCAATCAAATTTTTCTGTTCTTCCCAATAAGTCAGTTTCGATCTTCAAACTGTGCCTTGTTTTTTAAAAGATAAGATGCTAGAAATTCAATGGGATTTGGTGGTCTGTAAGGGAAAAGAAATCCAAAGTTTAGAAATATATTTTCTAGATGTGTTAACTTAAACATATTGTTCCATAATGAAAACACATCTTTTTAACTTTAATTTTCATTTTACAGTCAAAGGACATTTGTAGTAACTATGGTAAATGAGACAGGCAAGCACATTAGCCAAAAATATAGTTTAAAGAGACTGAAATTTTTGTATGAATTCAATCGTAAAACACAAGTTTCAAAAATGTACTAATAATGGGATGATGATTACACTAGGGACAATAATGACTTTAAGGGGTTGCAAGAGAGGTTTCTGGGGTGCTGGCAGTATACAGTTTCCTGATCTGAGTGCACGTTACATAGGTTGTTTAGTTTGTGAAAATTCACCAAGCTGTATACCTATGATATGTGTAATTTTCTGTGTAAGTATTATCCTTCAGTAAAAGAACAAAAACAATATAGGACAATGGCTGTGGCATGACCAAGACATGCAGATGAACTCTCCAACAGACTAATCAAAGGAAGCAACATTTATTTGGACCAGAATGTTGTTTCTTTTTTAAAAGCCACTTCTATCTTTCTTCCAGTAATTTAAATCAATAATAATTCTAATACTGCAACCACACAGCATTCCTGAGAAGTTAAACATACTTATTAAGAGGTGTTTTAAAAAGGTGTTACTTCATATTTATCACTTTTATATAAATTTTTTGCTGAGAAAACAAGTCCAAAAATGAAAAGTAGTGGAGACATCTATTTTAAACTCTACTATAAAAAAGCATATTGAAAATTGATTTATAATGATCTGAAAACATCCCCTTGACACTTTATTTATTTTTTTTAAAAAGGTGATCGGTAAGGGGATCTTAACCCTTGACTTGGTGTTGTCAGCATCACACTCTCCCAAGTGAGCTAACCGGCCATGCCTATATAGGGATCCGAACCTGTGGCCTTGGTGTTATCAGCACCACCCTCTCCCAAGTGAGCCACGGGCCAGCCCTATTCCCTTAACACTTTAAACAGTCTTTTGAGCTACCTAAACATAGACAATATTTTTCACATAATATTCAGGGTTAATTTGATTAATTATTTTGCCAGAACTCGTTACTTAAAAATTGTATTTACTAAAAGCTTGTTACATAAAAACTTTTTCAATTTTTTCGTCTAGCATTTAAAGTAATACTTAGAATTTCTAATATATTAGCCTTCTTTAGAGGAAGATAAAAAAATATAAAAGATACCCATATTTTGTCACTAGGACGACATATATCTCACAGTCATAAATAAATTCTATTTTACTAATACAACAATCAAAAAAATATTTACTACTTACTCATATAATTTTTATATAACTAATATCCATTCTGTCAATTACTCTTACTATGAGACATATTTCCATCAAATTCTGTATCAAGTTATATCAGTTTGCTCTGATGTTTATTAGTATTCTTTGAATAAAATATAATGTGCATCTAATAAATGTTGACTAAGCTAATTTACAAAACAAATTTTCTTATTGAATTTGCTTACACAAAAGAATTTAGGTGAGAATTACTGGGGAAAACATGTAGAGAAAAGAGATTAACTGTAATCTTGCTAATAAATAAAAGTAAATTCAAACAACTTGGCAAAAAAATTTTTAACAATAATGTTCTTGGGCCGGCCCGGTGGCGCACTGCTACAGTGCGCCGCTTGGGAAGCGCGGCGGCGCTCCCTCCAAGGGTTCGGATCCCACATACAGACCGGTTCCCGCTCAGTGGCTGAACGAGGTGCGGGTGCAGCGCCGAGTGTTGCGATCCCATTGCCGGTCCCGGTCCGGTACGGGCGCGACACTGAGGGTTGCTATCCGTTGCCGGACACAAAAAAAGACAAAAAAAAAAAAAAACAATAATGTTCTTGAGGCTACAGTAGCACTGGAAGAATTTAAAAGACAAACTTTTGGGCAGAAATATGATACTATATGTCAAACACCATAAAAATAGTCATGTCCTTTGAACTAATAAACCAACTCTTAGGAATTTATCATAAAAAAGTAATTAAACAAAGGCAAAAGAGGCATGAAAATAGATAAACTGCCTGGTAACCTATAATAATAAAAGAACTTGGGCCTAGATGTTCAACAATGGGAAAAAGGCTAAATTAAATGTGATATTATAGGGCCAGCCCATGGCTCACTGGGAGAGTGTGGTGCTGATGACACCAGGGAAAAGGGTTCGGATCCCCATATAGGGATGGCCGGTTAGCTCACTTGGAAGAGTGTGGTGCTGACAACACCGAGTCAAGGGTTAAGATCCCCTTACCGGTCATCTTTTATAAAGAAAATAAAAATAAAAAAAATAAATGTGATATTATTATAATTTTCTTTTTTTTTTTTTTGGTCTTTTTTGTCTTTTTCCGTGTCCGGCAACGGATCGCAACCCTCGGTGTTGCTCCCGCGCCTCGCTCAGCCAGTGAGCGGGAACCGGTCTGTATGTGGGATCCAACCCCTCGGGCGGGAGTGCCGCCGCGCTTCCCAAGCGGCGCACTATCCAGTGCGCCACCGGGCCGGCCCGATATTATTATAATTTTCTTTTTTTTTTTTGGTTTTTTTTGTCTTTTTCCGTGTCCGGCAACGGATCGCAACCCTCGGTGTTGCTCCCGCGCCTCGCTCAGCCAGTGAGCGGGAACCGGTCTGTATGTGGGATCCAAACCCTCGGGTGGGGGTGCCGCCGCGCTTCCCAAGCGGCGCACTATCCAGTGCGCCACCGGGCCGGCCCGATATTATTATAATTTAAATTATAATAATGAAGACTGTGGATATGGAAAAACTTTTTGTCATAATATTAAATAAAAAGACACAAAACTACATGAATACCATGACTACAAATCTTTACAAATACCCATATTATCTAAGACTGGTAGAAAAAAATTAAAATTTCTGAATTGTGAGATTATAGCTAACTTTTTTTTAAAAAGCTTTAATATCCATAAATCATACTGTAAAAAAATAGTATACATGACTGACAGTAGTTCAATCAAGGAACTCTATTTTGCTTTCTCTGCTAACTCCATTTGCAGACACTATTATCTTACCTCTCCTTTGCAAGTACAGCAAGTCCCTGTAATAAGATAGGCACAACTGTCTGATCCAGGTAGGCACGAGTTGGCAAAGACTGTAGATCCACCTTCTGTTTTGATGACTTTTCTGCATTAATCTTCTCATTTTCTACTATTCTCTAGTGAATTAAAAGACAATGCATGAATATTCCAAGTAACTAGATTATTTTGAGTGCTAAACAAAAACAAATGGAAATATGATAATAGAAAAGGCAAATCAATGACTAAAAAGGTGGTACTAGACTATAAACCTCTCTGCCAAAATAAATTCAGACCCATCTCTAAATTTCATTCAAGCTTTTTCTCAGAAAACACCATAATATCTCATTCCTTTAATATCGTATCTCCATATCCTACTCTTTCTCCCTTTCCTTCTGCCTCTTTAGCAGTAAATTCAAGCCCTTTTTCTATTTTTTTATGAGAATACCTTCTTACTGTATGTTCCAGAAAAATTGAACATGACATTAAGTAGCACTGAATGACAGCAAGAAAGCTAGTCCTGTTTCAATTCTTTCATCACAGATAATATCAAGGATGAAGTCAGTTTGGTGCTAATGTCTTTAACACTTCTGTAACATTTGATAAACTCCCTTCCTTATTTATTTTTTTTTTCATATACCTTGCTTTTTTTTTTTTTTTTTTTTTTTCCTTTTTTTTTTTTTTTTTTTCC